CAATTACTTCTAGCCATTAGATATCAAATTGGATGGCTTAGGGTCACGAAGTTCGAAAACTTTCTTTTTGAACCTCAAGTTTAGTCAGTGACACTCTTATAACCACCCGATTTGAAATTTGACGAACAAGAATAATTGTAACCTCCTTGTATCAAAAGTAAATGGTCTCTTTGTGTGTGCGTGTTGTTTGTATACATATATGGAAAATGATTTCATGAGCCAGCCAACCTATTAAATAGTATAAGCCAAATATCTCAAATTCCATCTGAGCATATCCAACAGCCAGTACATATAGGCACATTTTCATTTTAATTTTTTTTTATAAATCCTTTAGAGCAGAAATTTTGTTGAGAGGTGCACTAAACTTCGGTACACCTACCGGTACACATTAGCCACCAAATTGTTAAATCTGGGTTGCACGACCTATACTATAGCATAGGCCTGTCAACTCATGGTTTGCCCAACTTCAGAACCATGTTAAGGAAGACCTTTGAACCCCAGAACTTAGGGATGTTTCCTACTCATTGTAGCACCTAAGCCCACACAAAATAAAAGTTGAAATCATACCTCAGAAAATCCTAAATAATATTATGCCCTAACAGCGAAACAGACCGTCAATTTCTTGAATAATAAGATCTAGGTTGTAAGGTACTTAAAATCAGTTTTTTTTTAACTATATATGATGAGACAATATACAAATTTGGGTTCATCGAATCCCCACACTCGATCTAACACATTTTTTTCTGTCCTAAAATGTAGGAGAGAAATTTCTCTAAAGCCCTTAGAGACATTTGTTCAAGCCCAAATGTTGCGGACACTCTCTTGGATCCAATGAACAAGATCACATAGATAATGGGTTTTATCAAGGAGAGAAGTAGTGAAGATGGGCAATCCGTTTCAGGTATTCTAAAATGATGTTACGAGGAGGTCCTAAGGGGAATTTTTTACCCTAGATTTTATAAATTGACTCGTTCTCTCTAGATGAACAACTACTTAAAAATAATGGCAACAGAAACTAAACTTAAGTTCTCTATGACATAGATCTGACCTTCTAAGAATAGATGGTCTCTATTCACTATCGAGGGCATGTTTTTCTTTAGGCACTTCTAAGATGCCAATTAAAAAAAAAAAAATGGATTAAGCGCAAGAATGTGGGAGCTATCCCTCAAGTTTATGGTCTAAACGGTCCCCCTAGCTATGGTTTTGTGTTAGGGAAGATACTTTAGAGGTCCACCCTTGAGCTAAGTAAATACTTTTAATATAATAGTGATTTAGGTTACACTCCGTACTAGCCTATCTTGACTAAACGAAATCATGTTACTCTTTGAATTTCAACTTTTTTCCCACAAATCAAATTAAGCTGAAAATTTGAGTGTGTGCCCCTATTTGGACGCACCTAAAAAATATAAACAACAATTCTAAAAGATAAAAGGAAAGAAATATATTTACAACATTTCATGGGTATTTTGGTTATTTTGTTTTTGAATTATTTTTTATATTTTTATGGAGTTTGATGGTGATAAGTGGACATACCCAAAGTTTCAGCTCAATATGATTTATAAAAATAGAATAAAATTCAAAGGGTAAAATAGGAACTTGATTTTGTGAGTCCCCCAACCTATGCTACAATATAAGCTAGACAACTCAGATTCAACAATCAGGATGGCTATTTACCAAGAGATGCAGATCATTTTCATTATTTTTCAAATTTATGTATGATTTTTTAACATTTTTTTTTATGCATCTAGGTTTTGAGCACCTCTCCACAAAATTTTCAGCTGAAAAGGATTCATATCGAAAAATAAAATAAAAAAGTACCCATACATGCTGGTCATTGGATATGCTCAGATTGAATGTGAGTCATGCGACCTATACTATTATAAACGCCGGCTAGCTCGCAAAATCATTTTCCCTATATAACGATATTAGTCACTAACGCGAAAGCAAGTATGCAATTTGCTCCAACACGAGCACCTTACAAGCACCGATTGGGTTTGGTCTCATCATTTTGTTTAGCATCTGTATTAATTTACCCTTAATTAGCTCAGATTCATAGAAGTAGAACAACTAATCTTGATGCAACATAAAATTGGGCCTCATAAACTCCAACAAACCTGAAAGCAAGCATAGGCAAGAGCTGTTGCAAAATAGAAGTTCGCATTGCCAGTACCCTGCCAAAGAAAACCCCATTATTAGCAAGATTATTGATTTTAAGGAAAATTATCAAAATACCCATGAGAGATGCCCTATCTAACCTTTTACACATTTTCAACTATTCCAACTCATGAACAAGTGCGTTTTTATGGAGATTTTGTGTTGGGGTTTGTGGCTTTTAAAGGCCCAAAGAGCATGTAAATAAAATTATTTATAGTGATTTGTGCACTTCAGTGGAAGTGTATTGTGGCTAACTAACCGAGGGTTGGGTAGTCTATGGCCAAGGTCATGTCCAAAACCCTTACCTTTGGGCATGTGGCACTACTATTGAAGGTTTATAGTGGGTCATCACTTGTTGAGGTCAGAGAGATGCCCAAGAACATTGTTTGCAAGCCAAGAGAGTTGTGTGGTCTCCTGTGTGCAATGTTCAAAAAAACGGATTCAGGCGCCTAGGCGGTTTGGATGCCTGGCCGCCTAGGCAGGCACCCAGGGACAGGGTGCCTCACCAAAATCAAAACCCACACCCCAATCCCAAACTATTAAAGAATTAAGTCACTAAGACACTAAATATTACTTTACAATAAGACTTAAAAACAACTGAATATATAAGACATTTTAAGACTTTAGTTTCACTTTCACAAAAGACTTAATCCATTAAAATATCAATTATTTATCAAATAAACTAAAACAAAAAAAAATAGAATATCAAAATAACACACATTGTACAAAAAAGGAATCAATTATTCATAAAAGAATACAATATATGCTCAATTTCATCGTCCAAGTGACAAAAAAATCAATAAATCGCCCAAAAAATCAATCTTTTAACTAAAAATATATCGTAAAAGAAAAAAAATTAAAGAAAAAACACATGATTCATAACATAATATGTTGTAGCAAAATAAAATCAAAACTCTCTTTCAAATATGATAATACTTTAAAAATATCAAAATCAAATCGATGTTGGTGCAAACCTTGTCTACTGGGTCGCCAAAAGTTCTCAAAATCAACTACTAGAAGCTCCAAATCCACCCACGAAATATTGCCTTTGTTTTGGGAAGAAATCGAAAAAATAAAAAATTTATCAGTCTTTCGATAAATCACAAAAGAGTGGTTTTTACGGGGTTTTTCTCACCCTGAAGGCCACGGATTTTCTATTGGGGGTTTAGAATACCCCCTTAAACCCTTTTCCCTCTTTTTAGGGGAAAAAATTACATTTTTTACCCTCACTCGAGGGTTTTTTTCTGCCGCCCACAAGTTGTCACGAGGCGACACCTAAGTGGGCGCCAAGAAGCAAAACGCATAATGCCCCCACCCAGACTGTGCCTAGGTATTTTTAAAAAAATTTTGCCTAGGCAGTCGAACGGCCAAATTTTCGAACATTGCCTATGTGCGAAGGAAGGCTTGTAAAAACAAGGACCAAATCCTCAACAAAACTTTTGCATGGCATGTACATATAACAGACGAATTTTAGGAAGCAACCCTATATAAAGGAACATGTATACATGCCTAGAGAGAGCGCCCCTTGCACCATATTGATGTGTGCATTTGACTTGCTCTTGGAGGGGGAGAGATCCTGCAATCCACATACTGGGACCATGGTTCCATTGTTTATTGGAACTTTAACAGGCCAATCATGAGCCCCTACACTAGATTGTGGGTCAAAGATCTGGTTTGGTTGGCTTGAGAAGATAGTAGTGGATCATGGATCCCAACATAGGTGGACTGCCCTGATATTCATTTGTTTTTTGACATATTAGGTACATATCCACTTTTATGTCGTATTTTTGTGTGTTTTAGAATTTTGTAAAACTTTAGAAATATTATTTCCAACTAAAAAAGTATTAATGTGTTTTTTGCGTATATTTTGAATTTCAAAATATTTTTATTTGCTTAAGAAACCCTAAAAGGGTATTTCTAGAATTTTAAAATCACAAGGGTATTTTGAAATTTTATTATTTTGTTTGTGGGCCCCACATGGGAGGTGTCATGTTGGGCCTACTAGGGCCACACGTCCCTCATAATCGGACACCCCATTTTTTTGGCACATGACTTTAATCAAGAAAAAAATTATCTTATTGTTTTGAATATTTTCGTAGTGAAAATACTTGGCTGAAAATTATTCTTGACTAAATATTTTATGAGTTTTAAGTGGATCTAGATTATCTTTAACCAAATTTTAAGTATTATTTAATTTCTTTATTATCCATTTGTGTGAGAAAAGGAATTCTAGATAATTCTAGAAGATTGTGTTGACTGATCAAAGTTCTAGATAGATTAGAAATGGATATGGGTCAAATCTTAGGCGATAAGGTTCCTAAATGTTCACTCTAGATCATGATGGTTGAACTTGGAGATGAATGTGGCTCAGATTAATCTCCTCTGTCACCTCATAGGATACCTCATAATTCTAGATAATGCTGAATTCCTAATCTGATTGAGACTCCAAGCCCTAGAAGCTTATATATGCAGGGGTTTTTCCCCTTTCAAACAACATATCAGATCTGACGCAGATCAAAATTTGGATGCTACAAATTTTTAATCCTATTTTTGTCTCGAGAACCTGTTTCATGCTAACACTCTATGTCGAGAGCCTCATGGTCGGGGAGAGTGATCTATTTTCTCATAATCGAGAAATTGATCTACCTAAATTTGATGAAGAACCAGGTGAAGATGAAGAACATGTAGTTTTGGATCTTCAATTGCAATCATCATTCTTGGATGTCACAGGTTACCCCATCTTTGATGAAGTTCCTGTTTTTTATGAAGAACAAGATGAAAGAAAAGAAGTTATCCTTGAGGCAGTAAGGATATCTAATTTACTTATCGATGGAAAGGTGGAGAATCAAGATGACTTGATCCTAGAGAAGATCAAACCTATGGAAGTATTTGATGAAGCAAAAAAAGAAGCACTCAAAGGAGAATCCATAAGTGAGGTTAAATCAGTCATCGAACATTCTCAGCTCGAAGATGTTAGGGCTGAGCATAAACAATTCCTATGGCTATACGATGACCCATTCCTCGAGGGTTTGTCAGTTTCGGTGCACGATCGTTGTCTTTTGAATAGTGTTGTAACCCATAGGTTTCAGGATCATGTTTACAACATTCGGATCGAAGAAGGTGATGGGAATAATACAACTTTCCTCCTATCGTATTTTAAAACTCGATGACGAGTTTTCCCCAACCAGGGGAGAATGACACAGATCAAAATTTGGATGCTACAAATTTTTAATTTTATTTTCGTTAATTTTATGTTTGGAGGTTAAGTAGAATTTTTTTTTTTATTTATTAGGGTTAAATTATTAAAAATAAGATTTTTTGGTTTACTTGATAAAATCCATTTTCTTAAAAGGTCCATTTCTTTATTTTAGGATTATTTTTTAATTAGGAAGGTTTTGTTTTTATCCTGTTTGGATTTAGATAGGGAAGTACGAATGAGAAAGGACTTCCTTCCTTTTTGATAAGTAAAATAAAGGCGTGTACCATTTGGATATGGTTAGTCTTAAGAGGTTGGTTTGAGATAAGCCTTCACATTTTAATTGGTAGGGTGTTAATTGGTAGGTTCGTTTTATTAGGAAAAGATGTATTATTGGGAGTGACGTGGTTATCCAAGGAAGTAAGGGTAGTTACGTTTATCTTTTAGGAAGTTGGATGGAAGAATATGGAAAGAATCTAGAGATAGATTCATTTTGGTTAGTTATCTTTTTCAGTTTTAGGTAGGGAGACATATTAGGAGTTTCTCTTGTGAGAATCACGTGAGGAGGCAATTTAAATGTATAAAACGAGGCACGCCCCATGTAATGGAGGGATTTAGAATTTTATGAAATAAATAAAGTTTTCTTTGGAGAGAGAGAAAGCGGCTCTTTGTGGGTGTTGTTTCTACTCTTGAGTTTGGTCCGTGCTAGAATAGTCGTATCCGCACGTTTTTCTCTTTCTTCTTATGATTCCCTTCTCGTTTTTTTTTCTCTCTCTAAAACGCGGTTAATTTTTGCCAATGTTGTTTGTCGATAAATTTTATACTGCATCAAGATCTCTACCTTCTCTCCTCTCTCTCTCTCTCTCTCTCTCTCTCTCTCTCTCTCTCTAAAATGGCACACCACCCTCCCCAAGTGTGTAGGGTGCCACACTTAGCACAAAAAGAGGGAAAAAGAGGGGGGCACGCCCAGCCCTTCTTGATTAGATATTAGGTAGATGCCACATGTGACATATGCCCCTGGGTTGAGAAGGGTTCTTAGTGAAACCCCAATTGTTCTCCACGAGTTTCAGAAAGGGTATCCTAGAGGTGCTTCCCAATTCAGATTGGTGAATTCAGCAGGATCAGAGATCAAGTGTGCCATTGGCTAGATGATTTGGTGTGGGGTTTGGTAAGCCCTAAGAGGGTAACCCTAGGCAAAAAGTTAGTAAGTCTTCCCCCATTTAATTTATTTTCTGTTGTTCTTGCCTTATTTTATTTCCTAAAAATTGTTAGTATGTATTTAATTTTGAAAAAAATTTATTTTTGGCAATAAGTTATTAAGATCCTAGATTATAATAGACCTATTGTATTGTAGCACTCGTAAGTAAAATTTCAAACATTTAATAAAGGAAAAGAAAGAATTTTTTGTATTTACAATCTGGAATTCTACACAGCCACTTCTTTCAATTTGAAATTAAATCAAATAATACGGGTAAACAGTTCATATCTTATAGTTATTTTGATAAATTTCCCTTAATTTCTTTTTTTGTAGTTTACTGATTTACCTCGTATCCTACAAATGCACAAGAGCGAGAGAGAGAGAGAGACAGAGAGAGAGAGAGTGAGAGAGTACCCTCCATATCCAAAGGTTATGCATGACAGGGCTAAGGAGAGAAACCCCAATGTATCCACTTAAGAGAAAAAGTGAGAAGCGCATTCCTGAATGTAGTTATCACATTATCATTAGCTACTCCATAATTTCGCTGGAGGATACATGCATGTAAGGCTGTTAGCAAGCATACAAGTCATAAAACTTCACCTGCTAATTCATGAATAAACAATCCCATCATTCCAAGGTAAAGAGCAGAAGCACCAACTTGTTGGCAAAATTAAAAGGAATTAAGTCCCAAGGAAAAGAAAAATAAAAAAGGAACCAAGCAACTCTCGCATCCAGAAATTTCTCTATTAAAGATGACTGAAGAGACATATAAGCATCCAGAAATTATCTTCTTAAAGATGACCAAAAAGAAATATTAAAAAGGAATCATCAAGCAGAGGGTTTAAGCCAAAGAACAGCATCTTTGAATAGGCTGGACTTGTACCATATAGTACCACTAAACAACGCGAGGGATGAGGGATTGTACAAGTATGGAAAGAGTGCTCCAGTTCATACAAGGAAATTAATATTAGTTTTTCTTTGTCTGTGAATTTATTCAGTAAAAGAAAATGTAGAAAAGTGGCATATATATTTCTTTTGGTCAGTATAATAATCTTATTCTGCCAAAAAAGAAATAGGAAAATTAGTACATAATAAGAAGGAAACTGTAACACTTACAGAAGAATAAGACTTCAGTATTGAAGAGATTGCAATGTACACAAATGCAAGGAAGCATGGTCGATGATTAAGACGAATGAACAGTGGCGATATCATGAACAATATATTTGCATGGAATACCAATAGGAAGAAAACTCTAAAATAGTCAAAGACTTCTGCAAAGAAGTACCTGCATTGAGCCCAATTATCAGTGAGCCAATACAAGTACTAAGATCATTAAAACACAAACCGCCCCTTGAGATAAAGGGAATTGATAACTCACCAAAAGACACCTAAATTTGGGGATAGATCCTCCACATTAAGAATAAACCCATATGTTCTGCAAAGCCCAGCAACAATAAAATGCTTATTTTAATGTAAAGCAACAACAATGTTATACAAAAGAATGGTTCAGTTTCAGCACAAACACCCAGTTCCTGCAGAACTCCGCATTTTAATAGTAATTATGTCCTACCAAAATTTCTTTCCAAGTAATTAATTTGTCAAATAGAGGAGCCTCTACATATGCATTACATTTTGTACAACAGAAAACTCCCGTGACACACATAAATTGGTCTAACCATCTGCACTGGCATCCACTTTGTATAAACGTGGCTAACAAACAGTGCCAGGACATCTGGAAGCAAATGAAATACTGAAAAATTTCATTTCATCAACAATATACTACCATACCTTAGATTCATCATGAGTATTTAGAACATCACATTATAAATAACATAACGGGCAGGAGAATATCACTATTGTGACCACAGACTGCTTCTTCAAAAATGATTCAGATTTACAGATGGTGTATCATCCTCAGGGTGAAAATTTAATAGCTCACAAGCGAATCAGGACTTCCCAATGGTTGCTGCCTTGATAGAAGTTTCAACCCAGAATTTCAGAGGATAAGGCATAAACTACAAACAGAACTAATTTGCATACTGAGAGATATACAAAATCCTACAGCCGTACTCCCAATAAAACTCAAGCACCAAACATAATCAACATACGCGTAATTAGATATCTTGGGTATAGTTTTAGTTACAAGCATGTGTATTAAATTGAAAGTGGTTTTAAAAGACATACCAAAATGATGTAGCCCAAAATATTGCTCTCGAGCATATAAATAAAAGAGACAAGCTTAAAGTTTACAAGAAGAACCGCAGAAGGGCAAAATAGTCATTGAATCTATCATTTTATGCCTTTTATTTATTTCTTAAATTATTTTATTCAGTTATGGGCATAAGTAATAATTTCTAGACTACTTTATGTCTTTTTATTCACTTAAAAAGTCTTTTATAATAAATTGTCATGATTAGATTAGCTAGATAGCTAGGATTAAGTCTTATTTAGGATTTTTTTATATAAAGGATATACTCAAGCATAAGGAAACATCTTGTTATGGATTTTATTCAAAACCCTAGAACAGCTATTGCTCCTTCCTTTATCTCTGGTTTTTAATCTTTCTCTAATTTTGAATCTTCCTTATCTTTTTCTTTGTTAAAACCTAACTCTAAGCTACAAGTTCTGTGTCAGGTTAGTATTAGAGACTGAAGATCTGTACGGTATTATAGCATGGCACTGCAGCATTGTACAGATGGTACTATAGCACTATACAAACTATATTGTAGAGTCGATTTTTGTGCCCTACATTAACAACCATGCCTCCACATAGAGGAAAATCGGCAACCATAGAAGCCTTTGATGCTAGGTCGCATGAAGGATTACAGATCTGAGGAGATTGATTGAAACCCTAGCTCTACGTTTGGCACAGATGGAAAGCCCCATCTCAGCGGGATGAGATCAAAGCAGATGAGGAATCCATAAATCCTTTCCATGATCAAGCTCCAAGGAGGGAGGCAATTGATTGTATTGATAGGGATAGTAGGAGGTGGGAAATCGGTCTTAAGGCTGAGATCCTCGAGTGTTATGGAAGTCTATTTGAGGACAACCATAGAGAAACTTTGTTCTCATCAAATGGTTATCAAGATCAGCATGTTGTGGACTAGGACTCACCACCAGTCTTTGACAAGTACCTAGATGAAGATTTGGGTGTTGAAAAAGAAGTGGGTGATCATAGCTTTAATGGTAATCCAATCCGTAAAGAGGATCAAGAAGAAGATCCAACCATTTGAGAGGATCTTGTGGGTGCTCCTCTCCTTGATGAAGAACTGGGGAAGCATGAAAAACATGATGGGGATAATTGATTTCTTTGTCCTTGAAGGAATTAATGAAAAAAATGATGGTGTTCATGGAGATGATGTTGATGTTATTCTTCTTGGAGATTTACCTGAATTTAGGGTGTCACATGAGGTACACAGCAAAGAGTTCAAGGTATTTTCCCCTAAAATCTCAGCTGGTGAGTTTAACATAGGAGAAGAACCATTGCAAGATTGGCAATCTCCTTTAGGTACATTCAATGCTCGATCTTACAAGTCATAGAGTGAGATTTCCTATGCAATTATTTTTGAATTGATATCTCCAGGGACGGATGATTAGAAGTGATTCAAGAATCTTCCCTCCTATGCTTGTTCATGATTCTAGATCAAGTTGCTATGAATATCATAAGCTGAACCAATGCAAGACTGTGTGAAGTGGTACAGAAGATTAATGACAATGCCTACAAATTGAAACTTCTCAATCATATTCGCACTTCCGATGCTTTTAATGTCACGTATCACATTCCATATCATGGTAATACCTCTGATGACGAGCCGTCGAATTCAAGGACGAATGCTTTTGAGTAAGGGGGAATTGATGCAACCTAGAATACTACTCTCGAGTATCTAGATAAGAGAGACAACCTTAAAGTTTGCAAGAGGAACCACAGAGGGGTACAATAGTCATTGAAACTATCCTTTTATGTCTTTTATTTATTTCTTGAATCATTTTATTCACTTAGGAGCATAAGCAGTAATTTCTAGAGTCCTTTTATGTTTTTTATTCACTTAAAGTCTTTTATAATAAATGGCCATGATTAGATTACTTGGATGGCTAGGATTAATTCTCGTTTAGGATTGTCTTATATAAGGGATGTACTCAAGCATAAAGAAGTATCTTGTTATGGACTTTATTAAAAACTCTAGCGAAGCTAATACCCCTTCTTTTATCTTTAGTTTTTGAATCTTTCTCTAATTTTGGATCTTCCATATCTTCTTCTTTGCTAAACCCTAGCTCCAAGTTACTAGGTTTGTGCCACAAAGGATATAAATTTCAATCATTAGTGCCACATTTTTCAACTGCTGAGCATAAATAGTGCAAAATTATTTGGAAAGAAAAAGTGAAAAACTTGGTTTTATTTGAAACAGACCATACTTTTTGCCCAGAAGGAGAGGGGTGGGGGGGGGGGAATAAAAGAGAGAAAGGGGGTTGTTAAAGAAATAGGCCATACTTGTTGAACATCTCTCGCAAACCACCATGACCTTTAAGGGAAACACTGCACAAGCCCAGTACGTACAATGACCAGAACCCTGCCCATAACATAAAGTGCATAATTGGTCTCCATGAAAAAGAAAGGACCAATTGATCTTGCAGAGTGTTCCATTCACACAATGAATTTTTTATAGGCTTTGACATAGAACTTTCCTGTGCATCTGATTTCTTCTGCTTTTCAACTGTCTTGAACAGTTTCTTTGGAGGTGTGTCCAGCCCATACCCTAATAAGAGAATAATCTGAAAAAGAAAATTAACTAAACATTATGCCTCAATGAAGTGAAAGTAACAGACTTGGAAGAGTCCAGAAAAAAGAAAACCAACTCATCGAGAAACTTTAGTAAAGCAAAAAAGAAAAGAAAAGATATCAATGAACCAATATATATGCCCTTATGTCTTCTTTCATATCTAATGAACCAACATGATGATCAACCCAATTTAGAAAAAGAAAATTTATTTTTTTGAAAGATAGAAAAATGAAAAGTGATGACATTAAAGGGTTGCAACATGAAGCATAGCACACATACGGGTATGACAAGCATCATTGAATAAACAGATAAATGTGTTGCAATGACCCATCCAAAGCTGCCAAGGGAGGTACACCTGAACCAAAGAGGACAATATTTTATATGAGGAGAATTATTTTCTCTGAGAAATATAGCAGGTGAAATATCATTATGAGAGACGAAAGGTATTTGACTAAATTATCTAAATAGCAGACCTTGGAAATGACTGCTACTCAATGCAATAATTAATAGTCATTAGGAGAGGATAAATGCACTTCACTGAAAACCAAGAGCATAACTTCCATTTTTCTTAGCATATATACACATTTTTAATAGGGAGCGCCTGCATTAAACATTCACCTATAATACAGTTTATAATTGGGCATATCTATCCACACATTGAGGTCTAAAAAAAACCACAACCATCCCACTCACATCTTTGTGTGCTCAGATGTGATTGCTTTTGTTTATACCTTGTCAAAGAGAGATATGAATAATCCCAAAACCCTAGGTGGCTTTTCTCAAATATATAGAGTGGTGCAGGTCTCTATGCAGTTGGTGTACTTTACAAGTAAAATCTTAGAAAATGAACCAGATCACTGATACGGATTCCAAAGTAAAATGAGATTTTGACTTTTGACAAATTGTTTCTATGATCAATTTTTCAAAAGTCATACAATGACCGTAAATTTGAAATAAAGATAATCCATATAAAGTATAAACAAGGTAGAACGTTTTAAATGAGGACGAGGCTTGGTGTCAGCAACTATTATAAAACTCTAAGACTGTTAGAAATTCATGGTTCCAGTTCCCCATAAGTGTTTTCCAAAATATACAAGCAAAAGAAAACTAAAAGGGATAAGAAATGGCATGTCTGTAGTACAGCCTAAATAGGTTTTCTAACTGCCCATAGACAGCCCTATGTAAGAGACACCAATAAACACATCACCGGAAAAGAAAGCATCTAGGCAAACCTTGGAACCCAAAAATAACAAGATAAAAAAACAACAAATATTATTAGGTCTCTTACCTGCACAAGCCCCATAGACAGTCAATAGAATCATCAAGTTCTCAATAGATGATGTTGAGGAACCCGCACAAGCAGCTATTGTCAAAGGATTAAGTAAATATATAAGAGCAGCAACATCTCCGGAATCCAGAGTGCCTGGAAACAACATAAAGTGATAATCCATCAAAGAAACGTTAAACAAGGAATTATGTCATGAAGTTTGCAAGGAACAATAGCATTTGAAGCTAAGGTAGAATGAGTACGATTCAGTGCCCATGGTCATAAATGTTATAACAACTTGTAACATGCAAAACCCAAATTAAAAAGTGAACGCGCAATACCTTAGAAGACCATATTGGTGCTAGACATAGTAACCATCCAGAGAAAACATTTTTTAACTAAAATCCAATTACAACTCAAAGGGAAAAATACATTTATTAAATCTATCATTGAGGTTGTGTTCAAAAGAATGGACTACAGAGATTATGAAGACAAAGAGTTATCTCAGCCGGGAAAATCAAAGTCCTAAATTAATAGATGAATTCAATATTCTTATTAGGGTTTCTCAGAGCCCTCGGAGTCCCGAACATTCTAAAGCAAATTGAAAGCAAGATAATGCATCTAGTGGCTAATAAAAAACCATAAGATGAGATGTGTAGAAATATAATGCACCATGGGAATTTTGAATATATTTTATCTTAGGCTTGCTTTCCAAGAGATTTGGTTTGAAGAAATTCCTACTAATAATTTTCTCCCTTTCCTTCCCTTAATATCAATGTCTTTTTTGAGTCTTATAAACTACTGACATTTCTAACCTTTATTTCTCTTCCCAAAACTTTGCCAATAGGTTCCTGTCCTCTCTTTAGATAGTTGTTTCATATAATACCATCCCAATGATAATCTTAGAAATCTGATCCAACCCAAGTCATACAAAAATCTGAAGGCTAGTATATCTTCCAGTCATAATTTGTTGTGGAATTCTGTAAGGTTGAATTTTCAAAAGGTGAGATGTGCCACTAATCGAAGCACCAAATTTAAGGAACCCAGAAGATGGCGAAAAAAGAGTACCTGTAAAGTAAGAGAGGTAAAATATTGGATTAATAGTAGAGAAGCATGATTTGCTTTCTCAATATTTGGAGAAGAGTAATGAGCTTTAGAAGGAGCCAAAGAAGAAAAGATAGTCAGACGAGTTCATCATTTTCTATTCTGCCACTATCGAAAATAATATGTCCATATTACTCATGGTACTCATCCTTCCACCCAACCACCAAGACATTAAGAAACATGAGAAACCTAAAGCGTGTGGCCAAAGAAAGCAACAGAATAATGTTATAATGGAAACATACACCTCCGGGACATAGAGCAATAAGCAAAGTTGGACATACCAACAAGATAAAAATCACCAAATCTTCCTTCAAGCTTAATAGAGACCCCCGAATTACTTTCAAATCCACTTAAGTAGTAGACCTCCTCTTGAACTTTTAAGTAAAATGAAAAAAGAATATGAAAAAATTCCTTTCTAGTGAATGACACCGGTGACATCAAAGCAGGACCTCGATTTTTTATTTTTTTGAAAATACTGGACAGCCCTATTCCGACCAAAAACCGGTGAACTGGAGGTCTATCTGGTCCGGTCTACTATACTAGATCATATGGTCTAGTTAATTGACACTAGATTGGTGGACCGCTAGACCAACCAATCCATCGGTCCAGTGCCGACTGGCAAGTCTCGAAAGGCCTTAAAAAGGAGCAAAAGTAACCCTTTGTTTTCTCAAAAATAGGTCATTTTGCATTTTGGTATTTCTCATCATAAGGGAAGGTTTTGCGGTTAATAACGATGAATTTTGAGAGATCTCATTTGCGATTTTCACTCTCTCTATCCCCCGAATTTGCCTTCTCTTGGGTGAAATTCTAGCAACTTCCAAGAGGGAATCCACCCATCAATCTGCCCTTTTCTGAAGCCCCAAATATGTGCAACCCTTTCTTTTTATTGTTAGAAAACATAGAAACAGAAATTGCAATTTTGGGGTTTTACAATGCAATGAAGCATTTCTTTGATCCATGTTAATATTATCTAACACATCAATGAAACTAAAAAGTATTTCATTTCATTGAAATTTCTCTTTTTTTATGGGATATAATGAAAAAAGAGATCATGTCTTCATCCTTTTTGCATTTTTCTCAAATATGGATTTTGGGGCATCTTTTGTATGCGCGGCATTCGCCTTTCGTGATCTTAGATTTATGTGATTTTGTTTGAATATTTCACTTTCTTTTATTGCTTGGAATTAGATTTCAAAACCCAAGGACAGTTCTAGCTGCGTAGATAGGGGCATTTTTGTCACTTTCAATAATCGATAAATTTGGGGGTTTTTTTCTTGTTTTTCCCTACACAAGTTGAAGAGTTAATTGGACTTTGAAGTCAGATTAACTGCACCAAAATCAATAAATTCTTTGAATGACCAAAATATCTTGCTAGAAAAATGAATACGGTATTTACTGTTTTTTTCTAAATTTTTCAGATTTTTCCATAATTTTCTATACTTCTCCATTTTTCTCATTTTTTCCATAGTTTTGAAATTTTAATTTATCCAACGGTCCAACAGATGAACCAGTCCAATCCAACCGGACCGCTCTTAAAAACATTGAATCAGACAGTCAATCTAAGGTGTTGTTTGGGTATGTGGAAATCTATTACGTGACAATAGATTACAAAGAAATATGAGTACACTTTAATAGTAAGGAAATGGAAAGACATTACCCGAGATTACCCCAAAAATCACAACATGCATTACAAGCGGTGAGGGGTGAAAAATCTATTACGAAGTTGACGGGGTAATCTTTGGAAATCTTTCAAGTGCGTCTATCTGCCCTATCCCCGCTTAAAAATACATTTTCCTCTCTCAAGTATACGCTACGTTGTATTGTATAATTATTAAGGTAAGTAGAAAGATTATTAAGTTAAGTAGAAAGTGAAAGTAGGGGATATGAAAAGGGGAATCTAAATTGAATAATTATTAAGGTAAGTAAAAAGTGAAAGTAGGGGATATGAAAAGGGGAATCTAAATTGATTTGAACAGGTGTACGAGGACAATTTTCTACTGCAATCATAATAAAAAATTTCTACATCACTCTGTTCCCAATTTGGGTTGTAGCCCTCATCTAACTCTCATATAAAAACAAAAATTTTTAATAATTGGTAAATGAAATGTAAATTGATTTTAACAGTTGTAGAACTTGATGAGGGACAATTTTCTACTGCAATCATAATAAAAAAAATTCTACATCCCTCTATTCCTACTGCAATTATAATGAAAAAATATCTACATCCCTCTATCTCCAATTTGGGTTGTAGCCCGCCATCAGCTCTTGTATAAAAACAAAAATAATAATAATAATAATTGGTAATCAATGAGAAATTACACAACACAATAATAAAAAATTTCACACAACATAATCCTCATAAGAGATTAGTAAAAGCTCAATTGAAATAAGATACCTCTTTAGTCTCCTCCAATTCTTCAAAACTTTCTACGCCAATTACCAAACTTTCTAGTTTACTAATCAAACTTCTTCCTTTTTTTAACTTTTACCATAAAGATTTTGATTTTGGTATCATAAATTTATTGCTTAGTTGAAATTATATATAGAGAGACATTTGAAAGACTTCTATAAAAAAATAAATAAAAAAAGTTTTATCACAATAAAATCATATTATTCCAATCATATTATCCCAATGACATATCTTGTTCAAACCAAAGTCTAATCATGTTAGCCAAACATGACCATATTTTTCATATTTGAAAAGTAATGCATTTCTCATATTTCTTCCAGACATAGCAATGTATTTCCCAAGTTGCACTTAAATACTAGCCAAACAGTGACAAGCCATTTGCAAGCAATGTATTAAGCAGTAATGTATTACGCCCGTAATATATTTCACAGACAATATATTTCCAGGTATCCAAACGGCCCCTAAAAGTACAACTTAAAAGCACTAAATACCATCAAATTCGTGAACTCCAATAGACTACGGCTTTTGAGGACTTTATCCTAAATAAAGTGAGAAACCACCACATTCACACTTGTGGTGCAAGGAGAGGAAACTCTTATCCTGTGGTGTATGGACCAGCAAAATGGAAATCTTTCCTAGATACTCTCAAATGGTTGCAGATTTTTACTAAAAACTCTCGCTAAGTATGGCAAGCGCCCCCTTACTTTTGGGCCAAATAGAAATCGCATGAGCTAGAAACAATAAAGAAATCCCACATATGAGTTATGCATCGCCAGCTATAATTCTTCTAAAACATTTCGAAGTAAGTTCTTCTAAAAGATTCCTTCGAACAATGAACCGAGGCTTTCATACCACACAAGGTATAAATCTATAGTATTTCTTCATCAGAACCCATAATAATTAGAGAGAAATGTGAAATAAACCCACAAGAAACAACCAAAAGTGATGAAAAATTGGTCGTACTTCATTACGGCATGAAACCTCTTATGTAAGACATATAAATACACAGGTCCGCAATTCCCTTAGGTGGATATACAATTATATGAGAACCCTTGGATGATGGAATGCATAAGTTAAGGATATCACTAATACAATAGATAAAATATAGAATATGAAAGACTCTACATGCTGGTTCACTAACATTCTTATCAAATGTGACTCCTTTATAATGTGACCATTTGTTAGCTTCGTGATCACCAAAAATGCCCACTTATTTGACCACCAAAAATATTTAAAGATAAAACAGGAAAAGCTTTGAAGAATTAGAACGAGTGGAAATAATGTCTCATTTACTCTATTGCATGGTTTTGAGTGAAGAAGCAAATCCAAGCATTATAACTTGCCTGAAGTCTCAATTGGTCTGGAAAGGTTTAGCAAACCCAAGCTCCTGCTATATGCTGCTTGAAGTTTTTGCCCAGTTGCGCGAATAAGCATCGCAGAGATAGCATCTACAGTCACTAACACCAAACTATATCCAAACAATGTTGATACCAACAATCTCCCAATCTCTATCATATCAGTGAGAAAAATGATGCAGAAAAACCGAGTTATGTATATAAAATAAAACACCAAAATGAAAAAGCATAAAGCTTAAATTGTTGGAAGGATAAGGATATGAAAAAACAAGTCACAAAATTTACCGCAAAATGCGTACAAGGATTCACTAAATAGAAACACCCACCTACCAGAAAATTCTCATAAAGCATTTAAAAAAATCAAAAGAAGGTGAAGGACTACCTCAGTAAAATGTGACTTGGGACTCCTCCAGTTCTGTACAACACAAAAGGTCGTATAAAACTAAGTTAACTATATTTACGACGCATGCACTTTTCAGGAAAGCATGGATATAGGCTAAGACAGAAACACAAAAAAGTATTTTCATGCTAAGAGAACGCCATTTATTTATAGGTTCATACCTACTCACAGTCAGTGGGCCTAGAACCGGTAGTAACAAAGGTGAACCATGGTACATAGATCCTAAAATAGGAATCATGTGAGTAACTCAACTCAGCCTAACCAGTCTAAACATATAGAAATTGAAATCAATTTTGCATGGTACTATCATGAAGACTAGGACACATTTCATTCAACTCATAAGAATATGCACCTAGACAAGCATATACAATTTCAATCCATAACATGCAACCTAGTAGTTTTGATATTTGGAACCAATGCGGACAATCCAAACCTCTTCTTCTAGAGTGCAAGAACATGTTAGACCCTTCAACTTACAAGAACTTTCAAAAAAAGAAATGAATTATTACCAAACGTGTTATATGTGTGCGTGTGTGTACGTACATGTTATTTTCTTTGGCTCCTTTTTTCTATAGCCTGAAGATTTATATTGATGGCAAATATCACCGAGCTCCATTCCTAAAATGACTTGATTAACATGACAATCAAAAAGATTCTACAATCTAAGGAGACAGAAAACCCATCAATCTCAGGCAAGAATATACCTGCATAAGGAGAAAATGATGATTGTTTTAACCATTGACCTTCTGCCACTGCAAAGCACCATGACAATATCCTTTACCAAAGAAGTGATCTACATTTGCTCTTTTGGCCAAGTATGACAAATCTAGCAAAGAGCATAATCGCACCCCTTCAAAAAAGAAATGCAAAAGGGAGCTAGTTCTGCCACCACTAATTAGTAATCATGCCCAACACACCAAATTAGTGCCGCCTGAATGGATTTTGGATCATTAATCACACTATCACAGCTTCTGAACATTGATGAGATAGCATTAAATAATATGTTGGATGCATAACAAAAATGATGGGTAGTGAAACTAGCCCCAAATGAAAAACTACATAGACCAAGAGGATTGTTAGAGGTGTGAGATTGAAATTCATTCCCACCTTGTATATGTTAATATGATCAATTTATTGATGATACACTTAAAATAACTGATGTTTTTGTAGTAGCCACTAAAAGGGAATTTTTTTTTTTATAATCAAAGCTTCAAAGCCATTGTAAGTTTGCACCATGTATAATCAAAATCATTTTAAATTTGTTCGATGTATTCTTGCAAACTGAGAATAAGTCCTAAGACAAGTAAAAGCCTGAAAATCGATTCCCTCTACAACATAACCCTGCATTGAATACTTAAGCATAGTAGAATGCTGAAGCATCCATGGATCAATGTTCACAAGGTTTTTACTTAACTATCCAACAATGAAATACTTTTTCTTGCCCACTTCAGTTTCCCATCGCAGAAAAGAAATAAGGTAAATCCATGAGAAATGGTAAATGCAGAACCATATAAACTAGAGACAGTGTAAAGGCATAGCAGAGGAGCAAATAAAGAGAGTCAGTTGAATTGGTTTCGAGCTCAGGAAAATAGCTCAGAAATATAAAAGTTCTCAAATTTGACTCTGTATCAAGATAGGCAGATAGACAGTTAAGAGAGTAGAGACAGTTACAGATATAGAGAGAGACAGAAAGAGAGAGAGCAATGCTACTAATTTGCAAGAAAGTGCAATCTCATAAACATTATGCAGAATAAAAACGTTAAACAAAAAACAAAACCCAAAAATTTCAGATCTCAGAAAACAGCTCAAAATGCGAAGACAGAAATCAGCACAAAAAACAACACCAGTTCCATTCCGTGATTTCCCAAAACTTATCATTAAGACTACAAATCTGGTCAAATAAGGATTTAGAAAATGAAATAAAGCTTCAGGGGATTAGAGCCGTTGTGTGTGGAACATAGGAATCGCAATAGAGTGAGGCCCATCTAGAAAGAGAAAAAAGATGCAAACGTAGAGAGAGAGAGAGGGAATATTAAGGGTGAACTCACATCGACGGATACTAGTGAGAGGGGATGCAATCTCAGGACGAGAGGTGAAGGAAAGAGAAATGGGATTGAGAAGCAGGCGTATGAAGAGTGCCAGAGCAGCCCAACCGCAAAACCACAATCTCTCTCTCTCTCGGCCATTTCTTCCACGCACTAGGAATCATCTGGTCTCCATGGAGTTTCTAATTGGGCCTCCATCTTGGAAAGGGATATCATACTCTTGAGGATGAAATTGAGAGATTTTCATAATTTTGAAGCTCTAAGCATCATCGAATACACAGTTTTTTCTAGAAAGGGGCACTACAAGGATGAATGCTATGTAAAACCAGATTGTGAGGAACGTTGCAGACAAGAGGACGGGGAAGAGCTTTAGAGAGAGACAAGGGTGGAACAGGAATGTGAGCGGGTTTAAAGGGGAAGAGAGACGGGCGCAAAAGTATCAAAACAATAGCTTAAAAACCATTCAGACGTTCCACTAAGTAACCAATTTCAAGATCCGTAGATCATTAGAATGAACCATCGAAAATTTAGATAGATCTAAGTTGGCAATGGACCCTGACTCGACCCGGGACCCGCCGAATACACCTGTCACGGATTGGGTATGGGTCTAGCATTTGGACCCAGCGGATTGGGTCCGTGTCCAAGAATACTATATGGGTCCAGGTCCAAGAGCACTATATGGATCCAGGTTCGGGTCCTGCTGGATCGAACCCGTACCCGTAAACGGTTAGAGATAAAATATTTTACTTTAAACCCCATTCATTTTGATGTATTAAATATCGTATATAATTAGAACTAGTAATCATCTTTAGCTATTAAACTATAAATCACATGGCTTGAAATCTAATAGCGGATTGTTGTGACCACGTTACCAATAATATGGGTAAAAAAGGGGTAAAAAAAAAGAAAAGGAAAAAACTCAAATTGAGGGTGACAATGGACACGAGACCCTACGGGTACGGTCCGGGTTCAGGTCTAGCCGAACCCAACCCATACCCAACTCATGGCCACCCCTAGATAGATCCTATTATGGTGTATGTAAAATACATTGGATCATTCCCCTTATTTTTATATTTAATTATAAAATTTGATCCTAATTTTTAGAGAATATATTTTCTTTAACATGGAGATCATGAATATGAAAAATAAATAAATTATGAAAACTAAAAATAATAATTATATTAAAAAAACATTTGGACTGTTAGTTACAATTGTTTTTAGATGAACCCCCTATTTGCATCCATCTTTAAGATGGATGCTTTATATCTTTGAATCGCATATTGTAGAAATGCGGTCCAGCCCTCAGCAGACAATTGTTCTATATAAAAATCTTGAAAATAAGCATTCCATATAATATGATCTAAGATTTATTATTTTTAAGACTCAAAATCTTTTTTTCTATATCCATACATATTGATGTCTAGATGATCAATTAGATGGTTTTCGAACGTCAAAAGAGTATTTTTTGATAAATTTTTGAGGTGCACATTAATTCTACAATACAACGTGTCAACTTTATATAAACTTTTTTCAATTTAAAAAAAAGGGGAAATTAGAGGAATATATTTTGATTGGAATGCAACACTATCAAAATAAGTTAAGCCCCACCTCAGAATTCACACAAAAAAGTACTCTTGGTATCGAAAAACCTTCAAATCGATCATCTTGACCTTGGCCATTATGGTTGTGAAAAAAATTAAGATTTTAAGCTCTAAAAATTAGTATATATTACAACATATTCTAGACCATCCATTTTCAAGTGTTTACAGATCTACAAGATCTGTATTATTTTTTGAGCTACAAATATCATAATCGATGGTGGAAATTGATTTTAGAGCCATCATATAGATTTTCCTTTTTGAAAGTATTTTCTGGACAAGGTTTCATTATGAAGCTTCCGTTTTTTTCATACAATCTAGGCCTTACAAAAACTACATCCTTGGCCAAAATCCCCGTGCCAGACTTTATATGTAGGCCCTCCATTATTTTTTTATTTATACTATTACAAAATATCAATTAAAGGTTGAAACTTATTATAAAACTACTTATGGGATTAAAAGATTACAAATAACAGGCTTTATTAATGTTTTTTATTAAGAAAGATTAAATTCTTGGATTGACCATGTTCAGTGTTAGGAACCCAAAATTGTTAGGGACACTTTGAAATTTATAGACTCAAAAAGGCTTTAATGGAATGGTAGAAGTACCCCCAAATAATAAATAGCTTATTCAATATTTGAAATGATGAACAATAAGGGTTATTTATGTAAATATCTTTTTCACAAGGGCACTTATGTTGTTTTGTTGAGGTCACTTTAGGGATGGCAGCATACTGCATCCCTGATCGTCTGGTCGATGCCTCCAGCCTGTGTCGAGATGAAGCGAGGAACTCAGAGTCTAAGCCGCTCGACATTCGGTCCAGGTCGAAGAACATCTTGCTAATCTAAGCACACAAAGTCAAGTGAAATAACTAGGTAAACCCTAGACTCTTAATAAGTCAAGTCGAGGTCTAGGGTTCCAAGCTAAGTGTGAACTTTTGAAATGAGGTGGGATGTAGGTATGCCCACCTTTCGTGTGAATCACTCTTATAGCAACTATGAGGTCAAAGTATTGTGGGGTGCTCTTAAAGGCTGGGTGTACTCCTAATGAGGACCTGCTCTCCCTACTACCCTTCCTCTATGAACTAGGTGTCTACTCTGAGAGACTCAAGGCGAGATACAGGGATTTCAAAAACAATTTTGAAAAAAAAATGTTTCACCCATGCAGAGCGAATGTGGGAAAGTGTATAAGTCATCGCACCTACATGTGTGATAAGTGTATTAAGCAGACTAATAGTGCACAAACAGTAAAGTGAGCATGGGCACAATTTGTGTTGGGTGAAGCGGGCTTCAATTCGGTAGGCCGATAAAAGTGCGGTCTAGATGGAGGGGCGAGGTGCCCCAAGGAGTCTAGGTAGTGAGCGCAGGGTACGACTAGTGCCTAGTGATGTGCGCCTCGAGTCGAGGGTCCGATTTGAAGGCGCAGTCTCAATGAAGAGGTGGGGTACCCTTGAGAGGTCAAGTGAAAAGGGTGAGTGTGAGGTAGGGTCGTTGACAAGTGGATGCGCCCGGATGGCTCACTCGAAGCACAGTTAGGCGAGGGCTTGGGTGGTCTTTGAAAGTGTTTTTTATTTTAGTTATATGGAGAAAATGAAAAACAGAGGTGGCTACTGAAAAAATATGGGGTCTTTGGGGCCAACGAGGGTGATGTCATGGTGAACGCTAGTAGTGGCCTCACTGATGTCAAAATGCACCTAACATAACGGAGGGATTTGGGTATCAACGTGGGCAGTGGTCACGTCAGTGATATTGCCCTGAGCATCAAGTTAGCCCCTCACAATCCATGGCAAAGCAGGAATAAAAAGCAGGGGCCCGGAAAGAAAAAGGTTCCAACGCTACCACTGATTGCATTGACAACAACCATGGTCTCGCAGTGTCCGGACCTCATTGTTTGAACTCGAGGGTTCTTCACAACAATGAGAGCAGTGCCAGTACCAACACAAGTTCCACTAACATTAGAGTAGGCACTTCCGCAACCCAAAACAGAAACCAGAGCAGCCCAAGCAGTCTAAGGAAAAAGGTGGGGTCCTTGGGGCCTCGGGGCCTTGATGCAGCCAGTAGTAGCGTCAACACTACTACATGCCCTGTCGGCCAAGATTCCCCTAAGATTTCCAAAATTGTAGAAACTAGAGCCAGAATGAAGAAACAATTAAGGAAGGAGTAAGGTCATATGGTATTGGTAGTGGTGCTAACACCAGTATCAACCTCGTTTGAGTGTTCCAGACCTAAACAACACTAAAAAAGCCCCAAAACAATAGAGACCGACTTCCACCTGATGGTGCCCCTTCGAGACAGAGTCTGGATGGTCACTTCAATCATTCTACTATGTTAGAAGCTTAACGAGTCCTATGGTGGTGCCATACTATTTATACTTGAACATTTTGGCAGGAAACATGGCCCTCCGCCTAGTTTTCGAGCGTAAACTCGTTAGTAAGGGGTTCGGTAGGGAAATGGGTCCCGTTAAATTACAACTCAGGCGAGAGACAGGCCACAGGACTGCCCTTACTCAGATTGCCGGAATGCCGGCTCCAAACATGGTTGGAATTAGAAGTCCGTAAGAGAGTTTTGAAACCGGGGTCCGAAATGGGGAAGGGATTTGGAATTGGTTTTCAAAATAGAACTGAAGTTAAAGAAATGAGGAAGGACAGCAAGTGTGTATCTGTAGCCAGAACCCCAACCCTAGCACCCCAGGCTCAATGCTGGTTTAGAGTCAGTATGAGTGCATGATTTTCCTTGAGCCTAGTTGCGGGTTGATAGAACAGAGGGTCTGGGTATGCGAAGTATTGAGGTTCGGGTGTGTTAGGTCGAAGTTATGGCCTAACAGTCCAGGGTTAATGCGGGTTTAGGCAAGGTCTGGATTCGGTTCGACAGAATCCGTGCTTAATGTTCGATTCTCGGTCCTAAATGGGGGGTTCAACCCCAATTTATAAACATATGTCCACCTTAATCACCATCCAAAATCTGGGATCAAATATGAACCGTTTATGCAAATGCCACTATTGGTCTCCTCAACGCCACTATCATTGATTTGTTATGATCACGGCTTGCAAAAGATACGATCTCTAATTTTGTGGTTGACATGATTTTAGACGATGGTGTGTCAGCTAGGCAACAATATTGATAGTAGTGTTGACACTACTACTAGTACCTGCTAGTTGAAATCTGGCTAAAACGCTAGTATAACCCATGTTGACGCAGTTAACACCGTAATGATGGTTACTTTCCACTGCTATCTGGCTATCTTGAGGTTTGACAATGGGCGGTGATTTTGGCCAATCTAGAATGGTTGTTGACGACAGTATTGCCCTCATTATTGTAATGATAGTTTCTTTTCAGTTCAGTTTGCATATCGATTGGCGGCAATTTCAATCAATCAGGGATCGACATTATTAAGACTGGCGTTAGCGCTAGTGCTAATGATTTTCTATGTCTGCATTCCAAGGTGTCAGTTGATGTGCCAGTTGCGTGATTGAGCCACTGTCATTGAACGCTATTGTTAAGGTTGTCAATGATAGTTTCATTGTAGTCATGATATTTTGATGAGGCCAAACCTTGCATTGAC